TTGATAGCTCTCAAAAGGGCTTAAAATATCAATTCTTACAAATTTTTTAAATAATTCCAGACCATTAAATTGCTGTGAAAACCTTATATGTGGAATCTAAAAAACAAAATAAACAGACAAGCAGAACAGACTCATAGATACAGAGAACATTTTGACAATTGTTATACGGGGGGGTTCAGCAGGTTGGGCAAATGGGTGAAAACGGTGAAGGGATTAAGTACAAATTGGTAGTTACAGAATAGTCATGGGGATGTGAAGTACAGCATAGGGAATATATTCAATAATGTTGTAATAACTACATATGGTGTCAGATGGGTGCGAGATTTATCAGGGTAATCTCTGTAAATTACATAAATGACTAATCACGGTGTTGTACACCTGAAAGTAATATAATATTGTATGTCAACTGTAATTTAAAATTTAATAAAAACAACACCTCCTGCCCAGCTGGCATGGCTCAGTGGTTGAATGTCAACCTATGAACCAGGAGATCATTGTTCGGTTCCCGGTCAGGGCACATGCCCGGGTTGCGGGCTCAATCCGCAGTGTGGGGCATGCAAGAGGCAGCCAATCAATGATTCTCTCTCCTCATTGATGTTTCTATCTCTCTCTCCCTCTCGCTTCCTCTCTGAAATCAATAAAAAAATATATTTTTTAAAAAAACCACTTCCTGCCCAGCTGGTGTAGCTCAGTGGTTGAACGCTGACCCAGGAACCAAGAGGTCACTGGTTCAATTCCCAGTCAGGTCACATACCCGGGTTGTGGGCTTGATGTTCCCCTCTCATTGATGTTTTGTTTTTTAAGCGGTCTTATTTTTTTTTTAATTTATTTCAGAGAGGAAAGGAGAGGGAGAGATAAAACTACATCAACGATGAGAGAGAATAATTGATCAGTTGTCTCCTGCATGTCCCCTACTGGGGATTAAGCCCACAACCTGGGCATGTGTCATTGACTGGAATTGAACCTGGGACCCTTGAGTCCGCAGACCAACACTCTATCCACTGAGCCAACTTGGCAAGGGCATCTCTCATTCATGTTTTTATCTTTCTATTTCTTTCCCTTCTAGGAAGGAAGGAAGGAAGGGAGGGAGGAGGGAGGGAGGGAGAGAGAGAGAAAGAGAGAGAGAGAGAGAGAGAGAGAGAAAAGAAAGAAAGAAAGAAAGAAAGAAAGAAAGAAAGAAAGAGAGAAAGAAAGAGAGAGTGGAAAAGAATAAAAACATTTTTTTAAAACACTTTCTACTATTTAAGGCTAAATTCTTTTTTTTTCTTTTCTTTTCTTTTTTTTTTTAGGCTAAATTCATTTTAAAAATTTCTGTGAAAATCATAACAAGCCATACATCCCCCAGGGTTAAGGTAACCTTGTGCAAATAAAGGTAACCCTTTTTCTTTTCTTTCTCATTACAAAATATGTGATTGATGGAGAATACTTGAGTTTGAGTTCTATAATCACAAGCCATGTTATTTTCATGTACCAGTACATTTAAGAGGCAATGACAGAAATGACTGTTTTAGAAACTAGAAAATAACCAGAACATAAAGTGCAATGCAATCTTTAGCCAGTTGTGATCATTGAAAGGAGACAGTAAGCTACCAAATTTATCAGCAGCCATGCTACATGGTATCCAATTTTCCTTTTCCAAGGCCGTAGGGTCTATGCGCCAAAGTAAAATCTGTCTTCTCCATGGCTTCCTTGATCTCAAATATTAATGGACTGTGGGGCAAATAAATGAGATTTTCTGCAACTTTGACAAAGCATATGAGGAATGCTTGTCATGTAGCTAGGAACAACCCACATGAGAATGAGCAAAAGGAAAATACCCAACTTACTGATTTCTAGTCCCTCTTCACTGAAATCACTGTTAATCCAATAAGTAGTTAATGAGCAGCTACTACCTAGAAAGGCATATGGGAAGTACAGTAAGTAGGTAAAAATGAATACATAGTCCTTATACTTACAGACCTTACAAACTAATAAGGAAATGAACTTCAACAGCAACTCAAAGAAAAGGAAGATCATCTTTCAGAGCGGGAGGATAGGAAGTATTTCAACAGGCAGGTGTAGAGGGAAAGGTATTTCAGGCAGAGGGAATGTTTAGCAAGCTCACGGTGCTGATGGCATTTGAAGAATGACTAGTACCCTGGTTCATTGGAGTGTATTGTGCGTGAAAGGGAAAACTGAGAGTGGAGGATGAAATGGTATTTGAACTTTATTCTGTGAGCAAAGGAAAATCATTAAAGGCAATGAGCCGGGAGGAAAGGACATGAGCAGGGCTTGGTTTTAGGAAGATTATTCTGGTAACAATATGTATACTGAACTGGAGCTAAGAAAGCTACAGGCAAGTGACTACCTAGAAGGTTATCAGAATGGAGGAAGTGAGGAGCAATCAAGGTTCACATTTCAACCATGAAGGCAGATGTCAATGTGTAACTGAGGGGGTGGGGCTAAAAAACTGTCTACATTTTTCCCCAAACAGAATCTGAAGATTAGGATACAGTTCTATCAATGGCCTCACAACCTCAGTAAGAAAGGCCATGGTAGGGAAGCCATCAAACCCCTACCCCTTAGAGATCAAATCTTTACAGAATCTCTGTTACTTTACAAAAAAAAAAAAGAGGCAAGCACCCAAATCATTGTGATTCATCTCCTGTAATAATCACTGAATGAGAACTTCAAGATTCTCTAGCTGCCAAAGTCTATGACTCACTTTAGTTCTATCTTTTACACTGATTCCTTTAATTTATGTTGATTATAGTTCTGAGGTGGCCTAGAAGCAATTGAAATGAACAGTACTAGCAAATAGATAATGAATCTCTATCAGGAGTGTTCTGTGGGTTTAGAACCATGAGCAGAGGTATTGCCTCAATTCCTTAAGAGTCCCTATTTCTTGAAAAAGAATAATAGCTATAAAATGTCCTTTTATTACCTACTACCCCATTCATATTGCATTAAACAAAAAGGGCAATGAAATAGGCAAGTCCTATATAATAAAGAGGGAATATGCAAATTGACCATCACTCCAACACAAAGATGGCGGTGCCCACAGGGGAGGTGGGGTTCTGTAACACAAGATGGCTGCACCCACAGCGGAAGAATGACTTAATGAGCAATCAGCAGGGATCTGAAGCTACGCCCCCTCCCACCCCCGTGGAGCTTGACGGGGGACCTCAGGCCGCGCCCCCGGCCCTGGCGCCAGGCCTATGCAAATTGACCATCACTCCAACACAAAGATGGCGGTGCCCACAGGGGAGGTGGGGTTCTGTAACACAAGATGGCTGCACCCACAGCGGAAGAATGACTTAATGAGCAATCAGCAGGGATCTGAAGCTACGCCCCCTCCCACCCCCGTGGAGCTTGACGGGGGACCTCAGGCCGCGCCCCCGGCCCTGGCGCCAGGCCGCCCCGGGGGCTTGACAAGGGTGGGACCGGCCGGGTCTGGATCTAGCCCAATGGGTGGGGGGCGGCCGGGTCTGCGCGATTTTGAGGCGCACGTGGGTGGGCAGCGACTTGACTCTGGGTCCCATGGTGTGCCCGACTCTGACAGGAGGAAGAGTTTCATATACATTTTACTAATTTTCTTTCATCTCTGACACTTCTATTATAGAGAAAGGGCAAATAGCAGTATTAAAATATTTCCTCTAATTAATCCCCTTTTAATGTGCACAAATTTCGTGCACCGGGCCACTAGTTAAAAGATAAAAGAGACACCACCTTTTTCCATATTTTTAATTACCATTATTGCACCAATACAGCATATGCTTTATATACATATATCTTAAAACTTCATTATCAACTTTTCAGCAATTCAAATACATAATATATTATCATCTTAAGAATACAAAGAACACAACATGGAGGAAGATTGAGAAAATAGGTTCCTAATAATCACTAGTGATTCTATAGACTTTCTTTTTAGTGTTTTTTATGGAATTTAAAAAATTCCCTGCCACAGCTCTGTAAGAATAGAGCTGCCTGGAAGGGGAGGCAATGAAAAGAAATGGACCCAAAGTTAAAAGGAGTCAAGAAGGAAATCCAAGAGAAAATGTATTTTGAAAATAAACATAAGGACTCCCTCCCTTCAGCCAGAGTATACACATCCAAATAGGGACTAAGGGAAGAAATATCTTTTCATTTCATCCTCAAAAGTGTCTATGAACAAACAAAATAGATAGCGCCCAATCATCTAGGAAAGGGAACGCTCTTCACAGCATTGTAAAAGGAACAGTGGGGCAGAGGGAAAGGAAAGTGGTGAGAGAGCAACTTGCCTTTGAGATACCCTGAGTAATGGGCATCACAGCCATCATTTGGGCAAAAGCTATCATAACTAAAGTGGTGACTCTCCAGCTTCCTTCTTAAGTGGTGATACATGTAATAGCTGCTCTTCTATTGAAGAGCTAGATGGGTTGAAACAAAGTTTATGGAAACAGGCCAGATACCCAGGCAGCAAGGCAATGTGGGTACTGAACAAGAGTTATGTTTTCAACCTCTCTGCTCTACAAATCAGATTAAAAACTCTAACCTCTCAAGTTTAGGTCATAATGCAGCAATTAGATGGAGCTGCAAGGATGTACAGCAGGTCCTTTAATAACATTTTTTTTATGCTGTTGATGAGATGCTGTAGGAACTTAGTTCTTGTTTATATCAATTAGCCTATGGTCAAACTGGTTTTGTTATAAGTGGTTTGGCTTAAAGTCGCAGAACCTATCGACATCATTAACCGAGAACTTACTGTAAACACTTCTCTAGAATATAACTTGGAACACAATTGAACCTCTTTTATCCAAGAGACACCAACTGATCAAAGATGTTGTGCTATTCAACAAACAAAAGAACAGTGGAGCCCGGCTGGTGCAGCTCAGCGGTTGAGCATTAAGCCAGGAACCAAGAGGCCACCAGTTCAAGTCCCGGTCAGGGCACATGCCCGGGTTGTGGGCTCGATACCCTGCCCACAAAAGGCAGCCGATCAATGATGTTTCTCTCTCATCAATGTTTCTATTTCTCTATCCTTCTCCCTCTCTAAAAAAAAAAAAAAAAATCATAAAATATATATATTTTTAAAAAGAATAGTGGAGATGCCACCAACACAACCCTCTTATCATAGGAAGAGACATGTAAACACATGAGAGGGTGATGAAACTTCATCCAGCACTAGATGTTCACTGAATAGGATAAACCTGGAGGATAGATAGCAGAGACTCAAGACACAGGTTTTTCTTCATTCCTATCTCTATCAAAATTCTGTATTTGTAAACACTGAGGTCATTCTGTCTATTTTCAGAGTCTTGGGTGAGTGGAAAAGGAAGTCTCCCCTGAAATTGCTAAATAGGGCTTCACAAAGAGTCGCACAAGGGTCATGAGATGATTCTGAAATATGTTTAAGCGTTTAAAAGATGGAGAAAAATGTTGCAGATGTTAAAGGTCATTTCCCCCTCAGAAACCCTGGCCTTGGAGCCCTTCATAGTCAGCCACAGTATGATAAGACCTACTATTCCCCTGCCTTGATAGTGAAGAGGAGATAAGAGATACTTTCTTGGCTGTACAAATAACAACATAGGGGAGTGACATAAACCAGCCTGAACGCAATGGAGAAGCTATGAAAAAGATTGTCCAGTAATTTTGGTTCTGGGGAAAGAAGAGATTCCTAACTTCCCTCACAGATTGGTGCCCTCAAGGTCATTTTATTCTTCAAGTCTGTCCTTAATATCCTGCCAATGCTATTCAGAACTGGACCCAGTTGGATGGCTGTGGTGCCTGGTTTGAAACAGAGCTGCAAGACAAAACAGAGAGAAAGCCAAAGGCATAATATTAGGATAGCTGTTCCATTGTTTACTTAACAGTTTCAAAGAAATTGCTGCCCAGAATTTTTGAAAGTATATTTCAAGGCAATCCTACTTACCAAGGCCTAAAATATCCCACTCAAACTTCATTCCACAGTTTTATTCCACCACTCCAGCACTCCAATACTTCCTTACCTAGAATTCCTGCCAAAGACTCTCTATGACCTACAAATGCCATTTTCCCAGATCAAAGATTTCATCTGACTGTACATACCATCCATACCTGACTGAGAGTATGTTGGTTTCACTATGCTCATACCTGGATGCAGTGCTAAAGTCTCCCCACAAGTCACTGCTTGCAGAAACTGGACCTGGTGCTGGTGCTGGTGCTGGTGTGGGGACAGGAGCAGGAGAGTCCAAATCTAAAAGGATATCTGAATACAAGGTAAGAAAAGAAAAAGAAAAGGAGAAACATAACATAAATCTTAGAAATGAAAGCTTATGTTCACACAATCTATACACAGCAGCTTTATAATAGCCAAAAACTGAAAACAACCCAGATTTCTTTACATGGGTGATGGTTAAACACACTGTGGTACATCCACACTGTGGAGTACTACTCAGCAATAAATAGGAAGAAACTATTGATATTCACAACAATTTGGATGAATCCCAAGGGAATTTATGCTGAGTGAAGAAAGCCAACCCAAAATGTTATATATGATTCCATTTATAAAACATTCCTGAAGTGACAAAATTACAGAGATGGAGAACAGATTAGTAATTGCCACGGGTTAGAGACTGGGGAGAGTGTGAGGATGAGGGAGAGAAGAGGCTAAGAGGAAGGTGTGCTTATAAAAGAATGACACAAGGGATCCTTGGAGCGATAGAATTGACCATGGTGGTGGATCCAGAAACCTACACACAATGAAAGTGCACAGAATAAATACACACAAAAGAGAACACATAAAACTGGTGAAATCAGAAGTAAGATTGGTAGGCGGTATCAATGTCAATTTCCTAGTTGTGGTATTATAGCTTTGCAAAATGTTATCATTAAAGGAAACTGAGTAACAGGTATAAGGGATTTCTTTGCATTCTTTTTACAATTGTATGTGACTCTACAATCTCAAAATAAAGTTTCATTTAAGCCCTGACCCTGGTGTGGTTCAGTGGGTTGGAGTGTCATCCTGTACACAGGAAGGTCATGGGTTTGATTCCCGGTCAGGGTACATATTCAGGTTGTGAGTTTGATCCCCGTTCGAGGTACATACAGGAGACACCTGATCGATGTCTCTCTCTCTCTCTCTCTCTCTCTCTCTCTCTCTCTCACTCGTCTATGTTTCTCCCTTTCTCTCTCCCTCTCCCTTCCTCTTGTTCTAAAAACCAATAAAGGAAAAAAATAATTTTTTAAGATTAACTTAAAAAAAATGTTTAATCTTAGATATTATCCCTAGCCTTCTGGTGACACTTTTTTAACTCACAGATTGTATTATCTGGTTCACTAGTCTTAGGAAAATTACTTTCTGAGCTCTAATGTTCTCATTCTTCAAAATGTCTCATCTCCTCCCAACTGCCCTCCTGAAGAAATGGAAAGGATTAAGAAATAACATTTACTGAATGGCTACTATGTTCCAAATACTGTGCTAGGTGCAGTCCATCATTTAATGTTCACAGTCCTGGGGTAGTTTACTTCTCCATTTTGTAGAGAAGGAGACTGAAACTCAAAGAACTTAAGTAATGTTACCAAGCACATTCAGATATAAAGTAGCAGAGCCATGACTGAAAACTGGGTCCATCTGACTCTCAGGCCTACTCGCATCTAACCGAGGCACAATGAAGGAAATAGTCTTTTTAATACCCACCCTTTTTCTTTTTTAATATATTTTTATTGATTTCAGAGAGGAAGGGAGAAATAGAAACATCAATGATGAGAGAGAATCATTGATCGACTGCCTCCTGCACTCCCGGCTACTGGGGTTCGAGACGACAACCCGGGCATGTGACCTGACCTGGAATCGAACCATGACCTCCTGGTTCATTGATCTGCTCAACCACTGAGCCACACCAGCTGGGCTATACACCCATTTTCTGTAAAGAACCTACCAGATACCATTATCTCAGTTCACTGGAAAAGCTTTGATACCTTGCTAGAGGCTGCCTGAACTACCTTTTCTGTACCAAGTGCCATTTAATAGAGAAAACATCAGCACTCCCCTTGGCAAACAGGTGTTATCCAGTTACAACCTAATGTATGATTTCTGAAAGTGAAAGGTATTAGAGAGCCCAGCGGGTGTGGCTCAGCAGTTGAGCCTTGACCTATGAACCAGGAGGTTACGGTTCAATTCCCGGTCAGGGCACACGCGCGGGTTATGGGCTGGATCCCCAATAGGGGAAGTGCAGGAGGCAGCCGATCAATGATTCTCTCTCATCATTGATGTTTCTATCTCTCTCTCCCTCTCTAAAATCAATAAAATATATATATAAATGTGTGTGTGTGTTTAAAGTATTAGAGAGATTTACCTGCATCACTACCTCCATGGTTAGATTTTGGAATGGGTGGTGGAGTGACATGATTGCTGATGGCAACTGAGGAGGATGGTGGGGGAATAGTGACTTTGCCTCCAGGTGGGGGTGGGAGTAAGCTTAGGCCTCCAGTGCCTGCAGTCTTGGGCTTAGAAGTGGCTCCTTTCTTGGTTGTAATATTCTATGAAAGAAAAAAGAGGGAAAGCGAGAGAAAAAAGGAGAAGTCATAGGCTTATGAAAATACAGAAAGGAAAGAAAAAAGCCATACTCACCCCAATACTCAACTTGATGGTCTGTCCTTCCTTGAAGCCCAGATCCAGCTTGGGGCGTGTGTCCATTTCCTGAGATTCTTTGGAAATCTCAGATTCCTGCTTTACCCACCTTCAGCAAAAGAGTAAGTCATCTTAATTTGAATTCCCTGACAGCAGAGTTTGACACACAGATATGAGTGAAGCTAATTTATGTAAAACAGGATTCCAGAAAGCAAAGTGAGGAACATGAAGAGTTGAGAAAGAAAAAAAGAAAAGAAAAGCGAAGAAAGAGGATAACTGGGGCTCAAAACCACTGAGGAACTAAACAGAATATGTATTAAACTTGTCCCTCCAAAGGAGAGCAATTGGCCACCAATCCCATCCCCCATACTTGAGAGCTGCCCCTGAGTGGGTGTTAACTCTTCAGTTCTTCCAGGTTGCACCCCTGTTAACTGAGTGACCTTCCACAATGTCAGAGAGCCCAGAGGCAGAAAAGCAAAGGAATACCAGCCCTTGAAGTAGGAAAGCTGGCAGTGTGCAGGGTGCTTTCTACTACAGCTACGCCAAAGTCAGGTGAGCTGAAGAATGGTGCAATAAGCACAAAACAAGTCAGTTACATGAAGCAGCAAAATTGGCACTTAACTCTCCACATATCTTTCATGCAGCCCTGTTGTCACTGCATGCCTCTCTCAGCCACCAAAAATAACGGCTAATTCCCCAGAGGCATAAACAAAAGCATCATCTCAAACCATTGTACAAGGAACCAAAAACATATTCCTGGCTATAAGGAAAGGATACAACAGATACGAAGGTAATGTAAAGAAACAGAGTGAATGGGAAAATTTCTATTCACAATAAACTAGTTTACCAAATAAAGAAACCAGGAGGTAAAGGAGATAGTACCCATTCAACTGAAAAGCAGCTTTCCCCAAACCATTTAACCTGGTAAGTAAGGACGAGCTTCACTCACTTGAAGTGATCTTGCAAAGAGACATTAAAGTCGAAGGCATCACCCCGATCTGTGAAGCCAATGCCAATGAAAGCACTACGTCCTGGGAAAAAGATAGGAATACTCAGAATAGGAGTGTCCCTATGGTAAATTCTACCCAAAGAAAATTTAACAGTTACCCTACCTGAAGTCTGGGAATATGAATCATTTTCCTTGACCAGGGGTCCATAAACTACATAAAGGCCCTACCAGCGGTTCTCAACCTGTGGGTCATGACCCCTGAAAATACATCCCGAATATCAGATATTTACATTATGATTCATAACAGTAGTAAAATTACAGTTATGAAGTAGCAACGAAACTAATTTTATGGTTGGGGGTCACCACAACATGAGGAACTATATTAAAGGGTCGCAGCATTAGGAAGATTGAGAACCACTGCGCCTAGCCCAAACGCTGCCATAGCTTGTTTTTGTAAATAAATTTTTAGTGGAACACAGCTACACCAATTTGTTTACATAAAATCTATGGCTGCTTTTACACTATAACAGTAGAATTGAGTAGCTGCAATGGTGACTAGTTGGGCCACAAAACCTAAAATATTTACTATCTGTCTTTTTACAGAAAAAGTTTGCCAACCTCTGATATTGACTATGGAGAAAAGGTAATGGTTGCCCCAGATATAGGTGATTTAAGATAGTACCATCAAAACCCATCACAAAGAACAAATGGGCAATATGTGTAAATTCTTTTGTTAGATATACATTTTATTTACATCTACCTATTAATTACCACATCTTGAACTTGTGTTCATATCTATTACAAATATATGTTAATCCTTCTCCTTTAGCAATTATAGTTAACTTTAGAGAAAAGGGAGAGAAAAAATTAGTAAACTGAAGTGAGATAAATGCAATCGGGATACATTTTCACTGAAGTGCATGAACTATTTTCCTAATCATCCCATTCCAAATCTCAGATTCCTTACCAGTACCATCCTGGATCCGGATTACAAAGTAGCGGCTGGAATCTGTCACTGTCTCCACAGCAATACCAGGATGCTGTTCTATTGGTGCCTGAGCAAAAAGTTCCCCTGGCGGGTAAGAAAAGACTTTGAGCAAAAGAAGCAAAAACCTAAAACTCCATTTAACAAGTACTTCCATTTCAGTCCCCAACTTGAAGGTACTTACAAAAGCACATCAAAGCAATATCCTTAATATGTTAGAGCAGCGGTTCTCAACCTGTGGGTCGCCACCCCTTTGGGGTCGAATGACCCTTTCACAGGGGTCGCCTAAGACCATCGGAAAACACATATATAATTACATATTGTTTTTGTGATTAATCACTATGCTTTAATTATGTTCAATTTGTAACAATGAAAATACATCCTGCAGATCAGATATTTACATTACAATTCATAACAGTAGCAAAATTACAGTTATGAAGTAGCAACGAAAATAATTTTATGGTTGGGGGTCACCACAACATGAGGAACTGTATTAAAGGGTTGCAGCATTAGGAAGGTTAAGAACCAGTGTTAGAGGGTTACCAGCATAGATTACCTGAAACTTTGTCCTCGAGTTTGATATAAGCAATCTTCCCTTTTGAAGTGATTCGGAGGCGACCAGTCCAATCAGGCTGGTCTAATTTCCAGTCAGATGCCCTATGATAGGAAAGTGGGAAGCCTCAGGCCTCAGGTCCATGTTTTTAATATAGTAACAACCTACACAGAATCATTTGCCATGTTTCTATTTTCCTATCCTGGATTATTTATTCTACTTATTAAATAATCAACAATAGCTCATGATCCCCTCTATAAGGTGTCTCCTGTTGCACACAGTCCAAAACAAACAGGAGACAATGTGACTATTAGAGGATTCTGGAGTCCAATAGTATTACCTTTCATTGAATCCAACCAATATTTACAGGCACTATTCTAGATGTTTGAGATACTACAGCAAACAGACTCCTGCCCTTGTGAAGCTTACATTCTAATAGAAAATCCTATGTAATAAAGAGCTAATATGTTAATTAGACCAGAGGGCAAAACGACCTTCCGGAACCAATGGGTGGGAGGCGGGGCCGCAGGGCCACGAGGCAGCCGGGGCTGCGAAGGCCTACTCTTGCACGAATTTCGTGCATCGTGCCTCTAGTAGACAATAAAAAGTTAACATAATAAGTAAAATAACTAGTATCTCAGATAAGTACAAAGGTAAAAAGAAAATACAGAGGAAAGAAAAGGGGGATTGGGAGGGTAGTGGGAGAGTAAACAGGCTGCAACAATCAAGGGGTGGTCAGAGTAGGCCTTTTTTTAAAAATATATTTTTATTGATTTCAGAGAGGAAGAGGGAAGGAGAGAGAGAGAGAGAGGGAGAGAAACATCAATGATGAGAGAGAATCACTGATCAGAGGCCTCCTGCACACTCCCCACTGGGGATAGGGCCCACAACCCAGGCATGTACTCTGACCGGAATCGAACCCGGGACCCTTCAGTCCGAAGGCCGACGCTCTATCCACTAAGCCAAACCAGCTAGGGCCAGAGTAGGCCTTATTAACAAAGTGTAATGTGAGCAAAAATGTGAAGGAAATGAGAACTACCCATGCAGGTAACTGGTGGCAAAGCATTCCAGGCACAGGGAACAGTTAAAGCAAAGATGCTAAGGTAGGAGCCTGCCTGGAATGTTTGCCCTCAACCAAAGCAGCCACTGTAGTGAGAATAAAGTAAGAGATAGGTAGGAGAGCTAAGGGAAGGCTTAGTCATGCAGGACCTTATAGGCCATTGTAGAACTTTAGCTTTTACTCTGAGTGAAAGAGGAGCCTTTACAGGTTTTAAGCAGAGGTCTGACATGATCTCCCTTTTATTTTAAAAGAATTTCTTTTCTGCTGGGTGTAGAAAGGGTGTAAGGCTATGAGTGCTGAAGCAGGAGGAATCAGTTAGCAGACTATTGTAGCAATCTAGAACAGTCATGATGGTGACCAAAAAGAAATAGTAGCAGAAGTAGCAAGATTCTGGATATACTCATATTTAAATCATGGCAGCATGATTTTCGAACAGATTGAAGAGAAAGAGAGAAGTCAAGGATGACTCCAAGGCTTTTAGCCTTAGCAAAGAAGTTGCCAAAAAACTGAGACAAGGAAGACTATATATAGGTAGAGCATGTCTGGGAAGATGGTCAGGAGTTTTGGATATGCTGAATTGGAGATGTCTAGTAGATTTTCAAGAGACAATATAGACTAGAGAGCTGAATATATGAGTCTAGAGTTCAGAAAAGACATGGGGGCTAGAATTACAAATGTTCATGAAACAACAGAAAACACTGAATATTTATCATCTGTATTATAAATGAATGAATTTGAATGCAATCTAAGACATTTAAACATGACCAATTTTGAAAAACATTGCATTTGTGATTCTGTTTTGCCAGGAGTGTGGAAAAGGGAGGGCAAAGCAAAAGTTATTAATAACTCTTCCCTTTGGGACCTCAGGACTAATACTTCCAGGTTAGAAAGGTAACAAAAGGGTGTATCTGAACAAGAATGAGTTTAACAACAGGATAAGCAAAAGGTGGAAAGGAGGAATGTGAAAATTAAAATTTGCACAGATTTTACAGGATTTTTAAGATAAATCCTTATCATACCCTTCTTTTTTTTTTTTTTTTTACCCTTCTCTCTTGATGCCCTGCTCTCAAAGACCCTCAGTACCTGAATCTGATCCAGATTAAAGCGGCCCCAGATATTAACTTTTAATTTAGTTGTTACTTATTCTACCAGGCTACAAAGAGCTAAATATAGTGAAATGACTATTGAAAATATTAGGAACCAGCCTATTAGATGTGTTTCTTTGGACAGTTTCCTTGTCTTATTTATCGTGTCTGTCTAGTGAGCAACACTTAACAAATTCTGAATAAGTGAATGGATATTCATGGCAGCAGTTTCCCTCAGCCTTCCGCCTTCAGCCTTAGTTCCTCTCCCACTCCCAAGACCTAGCCTAAAGAGTTCTTGGTTTTGCTGGATTCTGACAATATTCTAAACTGACCTCACAAATTTTCATTTAACTTTTAATAAATCCTTACAGTAGTCATATGAAATAGGCATGAAAACCCTACCATCCCTCTCTCTGTGTGTCTCTTGCTCTCTAAGTGAAGGGAAGGACAATAACGCAATAACTAATAATGTCTAAGTTCAAAGTCCAGCATTCTTTCCATTACACTAAAACAGACTATAGTATTTAATATTAATTTAGCTGGGGAGAAGGGCAGTAATGAATTTATAGCTTGAGAAACCATTTTCTAATTATTTATAAAGTTTCTCATCAACCTAAATTTTCCTTCCATTAGTCTGGTCAGTGAGAATCTGGAAAGCAACAGCTTACACTAGGTAAATCAAAGTCATTTCTTCCCTCTGATATTATTAATCACTAAAAGAAAGGATTTCTCCTGCTTCCTAAAAATGAAACAAACAAACAAACAAAAACAGTTTTTCCTTTAATGGAAGCCTAGCGAATAAATCATGCTCATTGTGTAAAGTGGATTCTGGTACACAACTGAAAAAGATTATGCAACAAGACAGAAAAAATAATACTTATCAAGCATTTATTATGTGTCAGTCATCATGCCCACTCTTGTGAAAATTAAGTGAGAAGATCTCGCAGGGTCATTCTTATTACATTTTTTTTTATTGAGGAGGAAACTAAAGCTCAAAAGAGTTAAGTGACTTGCCAAAGGTAACCCAGCAAATAAATAAGAATCACAATTCAAACTTAGTTCTGCTCCACTCACTCATTATACTAACAGAGGAAAATTAAAAAATTGCTTTAAAAAAAATTTGCTTTGATGGCTCAGTGCAGTTAACTGACACAAGGATAAAGGCTGTGGATAAACTAGGAAATGAAGACAGAGAATGCAGAGGAGTGAGAGAAGGTAGGTCTTTTAAAAGGCTTGAAGAAAAGGAATGGAACCCCACTTCAACGTGTAGCGCATCCTTTAGGAAATCTTAACACCTAAAGTTGGAAGGCTTAAGCTATTTTCCTTATTTAACCCTTAAAATCAATGCTAATGTGTGTGATTAAGTGTAATCTACTACTTTCTTCTTACAGTCAACATGTACAGAGCTCCCACTATGTGCCAAACACTGTGCTAGGCCCTGGGAATGTAAAGTGAAAAAAGGTCAAGTGCTCATAGTCTAGTCTGTAGATACAGGAGACCACGCCATCCATTACAGTACAGGAGCGGGAGCACTGTGACAGAGACATGCACAGGTGCCATGGAAGCGCAGACAGCAGCCTGAGCCAGGATGGAAGGGTCCAGGAGGGCTTCCCAAGGAGGGCGACGTCTCAGGTGAGTCACACATACAGTGTGCAGGCTGCTAGTCATGCTCAATTGGGGTCTGATAGAGAGACTGAAATTACGACTGTCTCTGTGCCAAAAGGGCACAACTCTCAGTGTTTATTTAGTGCACAGGTCAGCAAGCACAAAGATATTGATTCAAGAGGAATGAACCTCTGCTGCAAAGGCAAAATAATGGGCATAGGGAGAGATAGCTTTTCAGCCAAGATAACTATAAATGCCAAAAGGAAAATCATGATGATGATAGAGGGAGGAACAAAAACAGTGTCACATATTTATATACTGCTTTACTGTTGCCTAAATTCTTTCACATTATACAATTTCAGACAACCCTCCAAAAGCTTCTGTGGGGTACAGAACCACAGCAGGTTTTATTATCACTAACTTTTTTTCTTTTCTATTTTACAGATGAGAAAACTGAGGCTTGGAGAGGTTAAGCGCTTGGTCCAGAAATGATACAGCTGTTAAAGTGCCAGGGCTCACGTAACCCATTGAGTTACACGCTCCTCTTTCCACTTCCTAACTTCCCACAGCATCCTCAGACCCACGGTCATGGAATAGCAAGGCAGCTGGTGAGCCCTGTAACCGCGATTGGAGGTCCGCGGCGGAATCCGGTAGACGCTGACGTCGGGCTTCACGGAATAGCAAGGCAGCTGGTGAGCCCTGCGGAGAAAACGCTGCGTTAACCCTGAAGGGAAAAGCCAGAGGAGAGGTTAAGTGGA